CAAAGTGCAGGACGTGTAAGAGCACTTCTCTAAAAAGTGGTTAATGTTTCGAATTTCATGATTATCGCAGCTGTTCTCAAGCGCAGCCCGTGTCTGCAACAGCATGCACGTCAGGTATGCTCCTTATGAAATGAACCGCTGGCACTTGCAAAAAAGAAACGGTTTGTTGCACTACATATAAGAATGTGCCGAACTTTCTCATTGCTTTGAGGTGATACTGTGCGTTGAGTTCAGATTATACATAAATAGAAATGGGCGGGCGGTAATTTCGACAGTGTTGACGCGACTGCGTTTTTCTACCTCTACATCACAGCACCATCTTGGCCGTCCAGAAATTCAAAATAGTTTCCATGTGCGGAACGACTTTTATCACATACATTTATCTGCAACGCCCATGAAGACATGCAAAACCTCAAGACAATGGTTGCAAACTGCGCCACAGAGGACAAACATCTAAAAACGGCGTACTGCGTACACAAGTCATTGGACAGGTAGAAGAGAGGTAGCATGTGAAACGTCACGAAGTGCTGAGCAAGCACTTTCATGGACATGTTGACATTGCTACAGTTATAAAATATTGAGATAGTTTGTACACACGGGAACTATTCCTTCCCAAACGGCGTGGCTTAAGACACCGCAGCTGCGATTTAAATGTTTCTTACCAGCTCAATAATTAGCGTGCCGAGTTTACTGAATTTAATTTCAACCTGCTCTCAATAAATCCAGTTATGTATATGAGCACCAAATACACAAGTAAAACACTATGCTGCGAAAAGAAGATTAAATGACGTGCAATTTGCTTCAACTTGGGCATGACTTGCAGCAGCTCTTCTGCCATAATATTGATGGTGAGTGCACATAGTCTTGCTGAGAAAATCAACGCATAATAATCACTACATAAAGCCGTATGAATTGAACACGCTCTGAAAAACGGAGGAAGCGTCAACGCAGTGAAGAGGAAATTTGGGATAGGCAAAAATCGGACGTATGCACTAAGGGGCAAAGAAAGCAAAATAACTATCAATATGGATAGGATAGTTAAAATAGCGGCGGAGTTTTACAGAGATCTGTACAGTAGCCGGGACAACCACGACTTTAATACTATAAGAACTAGCAGTAACTCAGATGACACCCCACCAGTAATGATAGAAGAAGTCAGAAAAGCTTTGGAGAACATGCAAAGAGGCAAAGCTGCTGGTGAGGATCAGGTAACATCAGATCTGGTGAAAGATGGAGGAAAGATTGTGTTAGAAAAACTAGCCACCCTGTTTACGAGGTGTCTCCTGACGGGAAGAGTACCAGAGTCTTGGAAGAACGCTAAGATCATCTTAATACATAAGAAAGGAGATGACAAGGACTTGAAGAATTACAGGCCGATTAGCTTGCTCTCTGTAGTATACAAGCTATTTACAAAAGTAATTGCTAACAGAGTAAAGAAAACATTAGAATTCAATCAACCAAAGGAACAAGCAGGATTTCGAACAGGCTACTCAACAATCGACCACATTCATACTATCAATCAGGTAATAGAGAAATGTTCAGAATATAACCAACCACTATACATAGCCTTCATAGATTACGAGAAGGCGTTTGATTCAGTAGAAATATCAGCCGTCATGCAGACACTGCGGAATCAGGGCGTCGATGAAGTATATATAAACATCCTGGAAGGAATCTACAGGGGATCAACTGCTACCATAGTGCTTCATAAAGAAAGCAACAGAATACCAATCAAGAAGGGTGTAAGGCAGGGGAACACAATCTCCCCAATGCTGTTTACCGCGTGCTTACAGGAGGTTTTCAGAAGCCTAGAATGGGGAAAGTTAGGGATAAGAGTTAATGGAGAGTACCTTAGTAACCTGCGCTTCGCCGATGACATTGCATTGCTGAGTAACTCAGGGGACGAATTGCAACTAATGATTACGGAGTTAGACAAGGAGAGCAGAAAGGTAGGTCTTAAAATGAATCTGCAGAAAACGAAAGCAATGTACAACAACCTCGGAACAGAGCAGCGCTTCGAAATAGGTAATAGTGCACTTCAAGTTGTAAAAGACTATGTCTACTTAGGGAAGATAATAACCGCGGAGCCGAACCACGAGATTGAAGTAACTAGAAGAATAAGAATGGTATGGAGCACATTTGGCAAGCACTCTCAAATTAAGACAGGTAGATTGCCACTATCCCTCAAGAGAAAGGTATATAACAGCTGTATCTTGCCAGTACTTAGCTACGGAGCAGAAACCTGGAGACTTACAAAGAGGGTTCAGCTTAAATTGAGGACGATGCAGCGAGCAATGGAAAGAAAGATGGTAGGTGTAACCTTAACAGACAAGAAGAGAGCAGAGTGGATTAGGGAACAAACGGGGGTTAAGAATATCATAGCTGAAATCAAGAAGAAGAAATGAACATGGGCCGGGCATGTAGCGCGTAGACAGGATAACCGCTGGTCGTTAAGGGTAACTAACTGGATTCCCAGAGAAGGAAAGCGGGTTAGGGGGAGACAGAAGGTTAGGTGGGCAGATGAGATTAAGAAGTTTGCGGGTATAAATTGGCAGCAGCAAGCACAGGACCGGGTTAACTGGCGGAACATGGGAGAAGCCTTTGTCTTGCAGTGGACGTAGTCAGGCTGATGATGATGATGAAAGCCGTATGCGAGGCATGGCACACGGCCAGCGCTGGCTGTACAGAAATGGCTGGAACTATTGCAGAACCTAATAACGTTGGCAGCTGAGCAGCGGCCAAGATTACCAAATAGAGTGAGCCTCAAACCACCAAATTGGACTTCGAGATAACCCAAATATAGCCCAACGCGTAAATTTGAAGTAGCCTAAAAATGGTCCAAGTCAGTTGTTTTTTTTTTAATTTTTCGTGGTTATATAGTTAATTTCCCGCAAAACTATGTGTATATTAAGTTAGCAATTATCAACCAAAATTTTATTATTCTCATAAAGATTATATTAATACAGCCCCGTCACTCCCATAGGACATGTGAAGGGAGCGTATAGAAAAGTTACATTTTGTTATACAAACACAGAGCACGTAAGAAAAAAAGAACAACTGACAAGACTCCCGGCATCGTTTACGAAATTGCATGCGCCGAGGGCCCTTCGTGAATTGGCGAGACAAAAAACCTATCGGACCGACTCTGATGACACGCCAAGGATGTCCTGAAGCTGAGCAAAGAGCGCAGAGCCGTCGCCAAATATTGTGAGAAGTTAGACAAGATAAATATCAACCATTCAACCATCCTGGAAAGCGAGAATAACTGGAAGAGAAGACTACTACTGTGCCATGGCATACACAGCGAACGGCCCAAAACATTTATTGTTCCCTCAGAACCCTTGCCCCAGAGTACGCTCCACTGCAAAACGTCGGGTCATTAACCGCGGCGCAAGTGTTTTCAAGACGTCACTGCAACCAACATTTATAAACAAAAAGTATCTATAAACGTTGGCTGCAACGTCGCCATGGTCCTCCTGATGGAAGAACCAAGTCGGTTCCGATTAGTCGGGTTTTTACGTGTTTTCAGGGACCTCACATTGGTTGGGGATAAAAGTTTTTCTCAGTTCACCTACCTCTTGTCTAATACCTGGATCTGAAAGCTCCCTTTGGTCAGTCGCAGAATATTCAAGGGGAGCCGGGAGGGGGCCGGTGCTCGCTCACCCTCAAAATACGTTTTCAAAGTGATGACACGTCAAGCCCTTTCTTGGACTATGTCTCCAAGTACAGGGATCGTTGAACATATTTGAGTATTTTGGTGGCGGGACCCCAAGCAGCGCGCGCAAATCCTTGTGTTCTTTGTATATCCATGGGGAAGGCTTAGATTACAAAGGAACGCATGCGTGCTTGCCGTTTGAGGTCCCCGGTTCGAAAATTCTCCCCATTGTAAGTCGATAACAATGTAGTCCGAAAATAGCCACATAGCCAAAGAGAAAATTTTGACGCCAACTCGAACAAAACGAAGCACAATTTGGCAATGAATAGCTCAATCTGGTAACCCTGGCGGCGGCGCACCAGGGTTAATAGGGGGCCTAACTGGAACAGAAGGAGTGCTCGAAACAGCCACACTTCACGCTAAAGATCGCAGCACCACAAGCAGCTTGATCCTGTATGCTATGGCCTCGTTTACTTAAGGTCATTCTGAGCATTTCACTGTTCTCACAGTTTCCCAATTTTTTATCTCTGTTTTAGAACCCTCTACCTCAATTTATGAAAGTCCCCCAAAAAAGTCGCTAAGACTCCAAGGAGATAGAATTATCGCTAGCACGACTGAAAAGACGCTAAATTTGGTGGCGACTTTCTCACTAAGTTAACACTATAGTGTTAGTGAGCTCGCAGCTGTCTGCAGCTCAGTATACTGAGCTGCAGACAGCTGCGAGCTCACTTTTTCCTTCTTTTCTCCTATTTAAAAAACATTAGCTCCCCCCCCCCCCCCCCATGCTGCCTCTGGCAGCACTTTTTGAACATGGATTTGAGCAAGGTAGCTGCCAACAAATGGTAGCAAATTGGGTGCTTGCAATACCTCCATCATGTGCGTCAATCAAAATCAAACGCCATAACAGTAACTAAATGTACTGTTGGTCCACGCTCTTGCTAGAGTGCTTCATTTTAATATTTGTGAACCGGCGAAATTTATAAGGCAGTACCTGAAATCAGCTATTAAAGGCAACAGTTGTATTATAGTGTTTGCTGTGAGTGTACGCTAGTAATTGAAGAAGAGAAGGAAACATTTTCTTTGTAAGACGCAACTCATTAACGACCAAGAAAGCATAAGGACATTACCGTAGCTTTAATGGAAGTGTAGCACTGGCATAAATGAAAATGAAATTAAGTTGACGAAAAAATTACTTTGCAGCCAGTGAACCGATCCCAACCCTTAGTATAACAGTCTCGGCTGCTCTTTAACAATAATTGTCCATTTCACTTTCCCTTCCACGAGCATCGTAATGTGAATTATTCTCTTCCCAATCGTCCCTTACTCTTTTTTTTTCTCTTTGCAGGGATTCTTCGTTTCCCTAATATTCTGCTACCTCAACGGCGAGGTGAGTACATTCAAGATCACTTTAACCCGATGCCGTAAAGACATACTGAATATGAAAATGATTTTTCGCCTATTAGTAAAGTACCATTTCCCCATCTCGAAAAAAAAAACACTCTTACCATGACACAACGCTTCGTAAGCAAGAAAATGCGCGAAAAGAAAATATGGCTGAAGACGCCACCTAGAGATTCCCACACTAAAAACTGTAAGCGAGAGAATTAAACTTTATTTTCCGACCAGGTGCGCGTTCTCTTCACCCAGAGGTGGATGACTTCCTCATTCCCGGTAGCCATGGCTAGCCGGCAACACCCAAGCCCTTTCTACCAGCCGGAGTCGGTCCTCGGGGTTTACCGACGTCAGCCACGCCTCCCACTGGTCTTTTAAAGTTGCTTGTTCACTCTGTTCTTCCGTGGGCGGGATACTCGGGTTGTTTCGACAGCCTCATATTATGTGGCACAGGGTGTTTGCAGAGCGTGGGCAATATTGACAGTTCGTGCTGCAGTTGCCAGGGTACATTGCAAGTAGTAGTGTGCCATCCGAATAGGTGCCTGCCTATAGCCTTCTCTACTCACTGCTTGCTTTCTACTCAGCCTTTCGTTAGCAGCTGGATAGTGGCGTCGTTGCTTCCGTTAGTGCGCAAATATGTCGGAGTATTTTCTCGGCATTGGCTCCTTCACGTTTCCGAAGTCAGAGTATCGCTGCGGAGAAGCTCGGTATACATGTTCGCGGGCACGGGCATGCGCTGCTCGGTTCCCGGCTAGGGATTCGTGCCCCATTGTCCAGAGAATACTAGCGTTTTCGAAGTCGCACTTTAGGAGAATTTTAAGGGCTGATTTATCAATTGATCCCTTTTGAAACCTGCGGCATGCTTCTTTTGAATCTGTCATGACTGTTACTGACGAACAGCTTGAACTAACTGCTAATGCAATGCCCCGTTCCTTCACGGTGGTCGCATCATTGGCATATGCCAAAACGGAAGTGAGCTCTCTACCTTTTTTATCCACCATGCAGGCTATATAGTTGTTGGTATCTTGGTATTTAGTGCCATCTGTTTATCGTACAGTCTCATTGTGGCCATAGCTTGCTAGCCTCTGCTCTAACAACTGTGCTCGTGCATGTCTTTTTCCTTTGTTATGTTCCGGGTGCATGTTCCTTGGCATTTGCCACAAATAATTTATCGGGAATAGACCGGGGCAGGTGCGCTTCTTTTTCGACTGCATAGCCAAGGTTCTTTAAAAGTGCTTGTCCTGTTTTTGTATATTTAAATCTTTCTAGTTAGTTCACCTTTTGGGCTTCAATTAACTCTTCCCAGGTATTATGGACCACCATCTTGAGGAGCTTTATTGTGGATGTGGTCGGTGAAAGTCCCATGGTAATTTCATAGGTTTTGCGGATGAGGATGTTCACTTTGTTACACTGATCGTTCTTCATGTCTACGCACGGAGACCCGCATTATTGTGCTTGTAAAAGTAACAGTTGAATCATAGTTATGCAGTCCTTCTCTTTGAGTCCATAACGTTCACTTGCAACTCACTTGATAAGATGCGCCACTTGCTGAACTGACAGTTGTGGCTTTTTTATCTCCGCTCCACCGGTTCCATCTTTTTGAATAACAAAGCCGAGAATGCGTAGCGTTGAGACTTTAAAAATACTGATTTCCCCAAGCGTCACTTCAGGATCCGGAATTTTGCATGGCGGGCGGGCGTTCAGGAGTTACAATTTCTCTGGGAGTCTACGAGAGACATGTTGCGAGGTATTGTTCAGTGATTTGCATCGCTTCTTGCAGCTGATCCTGTTGGGTTCCGGTAGATCCACCCGTGGTTCAGATCATGATGTCATCGGCATAAAGTGCATGCTTGATGCCTTTTACTCGTTTAGGTAGGTTAGGCAGCGAGCTCATGGTTACGTTGTAGAACATTGATGATATAACACAGCCTTGTGGTGTCCCTTTTGACGGCAGCTTGAACTTTTCTGAGTGAAGGTTTAACAGTCCTATCGTTGCAGTCCTGTCGGTGATGAAATTTTGAACATATAGTTTTTCTCCGTAGTTGTAAAGATTTAGGTGATGAAGGATGCTGTCATGGAAGACATTGTCAAAAGTCCCTTTTACATCACGGCCAAGGTAGATCGCTTTCTGTAACCAAACTGAAACCAAACATGGTGTTTGGAATGTATTATATTTTCTTCGAGGCACGGGGTGAGCCTATTAAGAAGCACATGCTTATAAAGTTTTCCCGCACACAAAGTGAGAGATATGGGGCGAAGATTCTGAATAACCAAGGGCTTGTTGGGTTTACGTATCATACTTCAGCATCCTTCCAATTAGCGTAGAACTCTCCCTTCTTCCCAACATGTATTGATATAGACAAGAAGCGAATCAAGTGCTTGGCCGTCAAGGTTACGAACAACCTTGTTGTTGACTTTGTCCTTGCCTGGAGCAGTATTGCGAGTGCTTAAGACCACGCTCATTTCTACTGCAGTGAAAGGGCGGTCTAGTTCGTGATTGAGGCGACTGGTGTATGAATAAAATTTCGATGCACATGTCTGTTACAATCTGTTCTGAGAAACTTCTCCTTGGCTTCATTTTCGACGTCACCTTCTGTCCGCTGGTAGAAGATTTTCACGGCATAAACTGGGTGCTACAAAACCTCTAATCGATAAAAATAAAGTACATCATCATCTGGGATTGCCATAGACATAGCATACAATATGGTTTCAGAAAATCTCAGAGCCAATGTCGCGAAAATACAAAAAAAATGAATTTTGAAATTAGTGAAAATATGTGCAGGGATTTCAGTGCAAAATTTAAAAATCCAACTGCAACGTTGATTTTCTCCACTAATAAGGAACTTAAGATAGCGAAACTTATATTACAGTTCTCAGAGTGCAGTTTATCAATCTACACTAAGTCATTGTTGCTTTTTGGTGTCCCTTTAACACACGTCACAAGCTCAGTTTACTTTGGACGCAGATCCAGAGCCTGATGAAGCGCTCGTACAGCCGGTACAAGAATGACCGCAGCATTAGCAGGAGGCATCGGCCAAGCATGCCACAGACCACCACTACCACAATGACTGCAACAACTCCCATGTGAAGCGCCACATCGCGCGCATGAACACTCACAGTGCTCTTTCTGAAAAGTTTCGGGAAAGGACGCTTCGGAGGCGCTAAGTCGAGTACCCTCGTACTGACGGTCATGTGCTCATCAACGCTCTGTACCTCGGATACACGCTGTCTTCATGTGCTGTCAAGCAAATTCGGCTATCCTTGTGATACAGTATAGTACCTACATCTGCTACAAATGCTTCACAGCGACCGCCGTATTGCGCATTGCTCATTCTGTTTTGTACCTGGTTTGCTTGAACGGTATGCATAAAAGAGACTGGGGGTGCCATCATGGATAGTCGGAGACCACCATGTTCATGTTTTTAATCGCAGGTATAGGTGCCGCAGGAGCCTCGTGGGCTAGTTGGCTATAGAGCAGGTGAAATGACCATGTTGACAGTATGGTGCACCTTGAGAGTCTATAGACTAGCCCTTCGGGCATAAGAGAGATCGATTTCAACGTGTTCTCATTCCTATAACAACAAAAGAAACAACACGAAAAAAATCTAGGGACAGAGCATGGTGACAGGGCAGTCAGCCTCTAGCGTTGTTCTCGACGCTTACATTTGCAAATGCGAAGAAACTATGAAAGCGCATAAAGACCGGTTGGTGGAAGGTTTAGTCTAGCTGGCTGCTAGACTTACCGATGCTTTCTGCTTGCCGCACGGTATGGCGACCTTCCGGCTGCATTGTGGCCTTTGGTGTGCGGCGGCAGCGACACCTGAAATTCCGTTGCCGTGCGATGGCGTGCACGATTAGCTAGCCGCTTGCTATACAACTTCCGGGTGGCACAGCAAACAAGTAAAACGGTGAATCCACTGCGGCCGAGATGGTCATCAGAAACAGCCGCTTTTCATCCCGTGCTTCCTCCATACTTGAAGCATATAAACCTAACACCTACAACCACTCACTCGAATACAGGGTAGTGAAGCGATCCATGCACTGGTTGTTTCCTCTCACTTTTCTATCTTACATAAAGACGTTCTCGTGTTACGTAGAAAAAAATATTAGTTGCAATGTATCTGTGGCATGTAAAACGATAGATTACAGTTACTTCGGTTTATTCATGTTTTTAAAAAAAGCGACGTGGCAATAGGTGTTTGAAAATTGTCAAATGTTAAACAATAGTGTTTGAAATGTGTAGTAATGGCAAAAAAACATGTAAACTGAAATCATGATTTTATCTCCAGCGAAAAGACAAGGCTGCACTGATGACTTCAACATGTGGAGATGTCACTATGCTAAAAGTTTTGAAATTTTAGGTGGGTACCAAAGCTGCCAACTGTGTCGGCCGTACGTGCCTTGTAGAGAATGACGTGGCAAAAGTGAGCAGTACAACTTTCCAGTCGTGCAGAAAGCGTTTGATTCAACTGTCGCATGTTGAGTTTTGAGGCATATCTTCTTCAAGCATATGTCACATTCTGTCGCCCTTTTCTCTTGCGTCTATGCCCCTCCCCCCCCCCTCATTTTTTATTTGAATGAGTTAAGACAGTGACGTAGTTGTTTTTCATATGCATACTCCGTTACACACATCATGTGCAACGCTTTGAAAGCTATGCAATAGGTTTGGTTTCGGTCAGCAAAGTGCATTACTGTGCGCGCCTCGTGCTTAGATTTCATCATTGTAAACGTGACCTCCACAATTGGTTCCGGTGCGCGCTACCAAAACTAATCTTTGAGGCCCCGCTAAGCGACCAAAACAAGCTATTGACAACTGCATAAATAACACAGTTTGTGTATTTCTAAGGCACGAAGCATGTTGATTTATTACTTAGTCTATAGACGAAATAAAAACCATATCAAGCCTGGTAAAATGATTTAATTATTTCTTGGCGCGAACGTATCTACTTCAAGAAGTCTCACTAGTTTCCATTGCATTGCACTTGATGCATGAAACAGGAGCATAAGTTTAAAAGGTGGCAGTTTTACATGTGAGGCACATTGGGGTTTACTTGCTAACTAAAATTATTTACTATTTAATTTTCTTTGTAAGATAGCGAATCCTAAACTGTGCTGCAGAATAGCGTGGCACTCCGGTTGTTTCACAAAAGCATGCGCGAAAGAATACGCAGTTATTTTAGGTGTTGCAACAATGCATTTACCGCAGAAGTGCTTCATGTTGAGGTCCGACAGACTGTTGGGGCGACCCACGCTATTCGACTGGGCCTACGTGCATTAGATCTTTCTATGGAGCTGCTGTATATAGTCCCTGAGAGCTCTTCTTGGGAGTCGTCGCGCGCACGAGGGGACAAAGGGGGAGCAGGGGGCGCAAAACCTGCCCCATACCTTAATAGCAGTGGGGTCGCTGCAATGAACTTCGCCCCCCCCCCCTAAGAAAAACTCTGCGCACTCCTATTATGGGAGTCAATACTCCAGATGTAATCCATTTCTCCTACACGAAAGTGAACAGCGTTCCTCTCTCTTTATCTCACCTTGGTAATATGTTCGAACATGATCTCAGCAGTTCCCCAGAGACTGGTTCTGTACACTGAATGATAAAGGCCTCACGTATGCTCAAAAACAAGCTGCTGGTAAGTGAATGCAACTAGTTACTGAGCCAAATACGTGAAAAATCGTTGCCACTGGAGCAGAAGCCTCAATAAGAGGACTTGCCTTCATCAAGGCAGCAACTTATTTTCTTTTCCAGCGTTCTTTTGCAATTCTCAATCACCGACTCGAGTTCCCACCAAGAGTGATGGAGGATAACTGCAAGCTGTTCAACAATTTCTCATCACTTTTAAGACTCCATTTTTATACAACGGCAAGGACATACTGTTACGCCTGGGAGTCCAGACCGAACGCCATTGCCTCTGCAAAGGCAATCTGTGTTACTGCCAGCGAGCGAGCCTGCCTGCCACCATTACCACAACGACGTAATCTACCTGTGGTAAGAGTGCTTCTCACAACCAAAATCGAAACTGGAAGTGAAACCGACATCGGAAAATAACCAACGAAGACAAAGTGTGCACGGGGTCAGACGAACGTGAGCGCGTGAGTTTCGGAACAGCGACGGGCAGAGGAAGAACGCGGCCAGCTAGCAAGAGCGCTAGGCGTTGGGCCTCAGGGGACCGAACCAACGAGCGGGTGTCACCAACCCAACCGGGACGAGCGTGGCATGTTCCTGAGGCGAGTGGCGGTTCCGGGCCGGGCCTGACATGCTGTTCCTGTGGCGGACGAGCGTGCGGGCCAGGGCAAGCGGCTGATCCTGTCCAGACTCGGGTCCGGCACAACCAGTCACCGAGATCGTGGCCACGGTGCCACGTCGGAGCCGGTCCGGCACAACCGCCAATTGAAGGTGCGACCTCGGTGTTGCGTCGGCCGCAGCGTGAGGCCGCCTGGTCCAGCACGAGCAGCTGATGGTCTGCTCGTGAGCTTCCGTGCACTTGGCAACCTCCCCGTGGCGAGGTTGCGTTGTCGACGCCATCGTCTTCAGCGGGAGCGTGAGTGGCACCCGACGGAATTAGACTTCCGAGTAGTGAGGACGCGTGGGTTACTCGCGGGCGCGTAGACATAAGGACTGTATGACTGAATTACGGAGCCAGTGTGTTGTACAGATAGCCACAGTGTTGTGATTGTTTTGTGTGTGAAGTCAATAGATGTTTCTCTTGTCCTTGTCTTGGGTTTCTGCGTCTGAGGGCCCAAGAACCACCACAATTGGCGAGCCTGCCAGGATGGCTTATTAAAATCTAAAGCCATTACTCAGACGCAGCCTTTGTCATGGACAGGGAGAAATTTATTGCACTTGGCCGACAGCTAGGGTTGGAGAACGAGGAGCTCAGAGAGTGGGTTGAGCGAGAGTGCGTTGAAGCTCGAGATGAGCGTGCTAGGGAGCGCGAGATCGCGAAAGAAAACGCTGAGAGGCAGCAAAAGCTGTTAGAGCAGCAGCAGAAGGTGCAGGAACAAGAGCTGAAGATCCTCGAACTGAAGCTTCGACTTCAGGAGAGCGCAAGCAGGGTACAGCCAATGGTGGCTGACGAACAAGAAGGATCCAGCATGAGCGCCAGAGGAATAACAGAGGTCTGCAGTCCTCATAAACTGATTCCGCCCTTCAATGAGGCTCGGGACGACCTCGACGCGTACCTGCAGCGATTTGAACGGGTCGCCACGTGTCAAGGGTGGCCGCGTGAAAAGTGGGCTCTTTCGCTTAGCCTATGCATGACAGGAGAAGCGCTAAAAGTCATAGGCCGGTTAGATCCAACAGCTGTGCTGAATTATGATCAGCTGAAAGCGGCGCTTCTTCAGAGGTTCCGCTATACTGCGGAAGGCTACCGCGAAAAATTTCGTAAAGCGAAGCCCGAAGAAAACGAGACTGGTCTGCAGTATGCTGCAAGACTTTCCGGCTACTTTGACCGTTGGCTTGAAGTGGGAAAAACGGAGACAAGCTTTGCTAGCTTGCGAGATCTGATGATAAGTGAGCAATTCATGAAGGGTTGTTCTCCGGCACTCAGGATCTTTCTCAAGGAGAGAAGTTGCAAAACCCTGAGTTCGCTTTGCGAGACTGCCGATAACTTCATGGAAGCACAGGCGCTCACAAACTTAGGAAGAGAACGGATTCCCAAGGATCCGGGACCTTCGGTGTCCAAGCCGGAGTCCGCGAAGAAGACGGAGAAGCCTGCAAGTCGCTGTTTCCTTTGTGACAAGGCAGGCCATCGCGCAGCCGACTGCTGGTCCCGCACGAAAGGGAATACTTTCAGCCGATGCGGAGTATGCAAACAAAGTGGACACAGCAGTGACAGATGCCCCGGTAGAAAATTTGGTAAAGACCAGGCATCATGTATGCTATCGGAAAAACGCGAAGACTTGACACCTGAACACCATAAGAGTGGCTACATTGTTCTCCAAGACGGCGGAACAATACCCATCGTCAATGCCACATCAAGTCGACGATCCGCGAACGTTGGAGTCGCTGACATGCCTGTTGTGGAGGGGTTCCTAGAGGACAGACCAGTGCATGTGCTTCGAGACACCGGCTGCAACACGGTCGTCGTGCGGCAATCCTTGGTTCCGAAGGAGAAGTTCACGGGAACGACGAGCCCAGTGTACTTACTGGACCGTACTGTGCGATACCTCCCAGAGGCAAAAGTCCTTATGCAATGTACATTGTTTACTGGGGAAGTACTCGTTAAGTGTATGACCGACCCATTATACGACGTAATTTTGGGCAACATCAAGGGCGCGGCATTGCCGGATACGTTACCTATGAATGAGTCAGCACCACAGCATGACCATGGCCACGTGGAAACAAGGCGTGCACCATGCACAGACTCTAGCAAAGGGAATGCTATCAATGGTGAGCAGGATGTATCGGGCAATTTGCACGCAACCCAACCAAGATCGAATGCGGAGGAAGCGTATGAGCCACCGCATGAAGCCATGGAAAAGTGGCCCCTTCCGAAGATCACCGCCAACTTGGCAATGGGCGAAGAGAGTCGTTTCAGTGGCAGGAAGAAGCCTATCGTCGCCAAGAGGGTCCTGGGAACGGTGAAGTGGTTTAATGTCAAGAACGGCTATGGCTTCATCAACCGCAACGACACTCACGAGGATATCTTCGTCTACCAGACGGCCATCACGCGCAACAACCCACAGAACCTGCTGCGCAGCGTTGGCGAAGGTGAGACCGTCGAGTTTGACGTCGTGGTCGGCGATAAGGGCTGCGAGGCAGCCAATGTGACCGGACCCGATGGTGAGCCTGTTCAGGGTAGCCCGTACGCGGCCGACAGGCGCCCGTTCCGACCCCGCTGGATTCCACGTCGCAATCAACGAAGGCGCGGGCCGGCGTCAAGGCGTGGCCGAGGGGAAGATCGAAGGGAGGAAGCAGGAAACCGAGACTCATCGCGATCACTGCCACCGCACCAGGACCAGAGCGACCCGGCTCCTAGACGGTGGATCATGGACGGCGTGGGGAGGCCCTACCCTTGGCGATACAACCAGCGTTTCAGAGGAGTGCCACGAGCACCTCCGCGAGCCCCACCACCGCCACCGCCGCCACCGCAGCGTTTCATTGTCGATGAGCCACGGTCAGCGTACGCCGAAGAAGAGGTTTTCAACGAGCCCCCACCCCGGCGCCCTCCACGGCGGTTCCGTGGCTGCTACTTTCGTAGACGACGTGGCCGTTTTCAGAGCAACCTGGAAATGGCAGGACGGAACAACTCCGGGAAAAAAATCTCGAAGAAGGACTACGGGGAGGTAGCGGCGGAAGTGGCAACAGGAGCCAGGAGGACTCCCAGGACAGGGGGAGTGCCCTTCGTGGCAACGACCTCCTCCGATGTACCGACACCCAAGGTCCCGCCGACGCAGAACCAAGTCACCATCCAAGAAGGCCGGGGCCCGTAATGGACGCGATATCGAGGCGAGCAGCGGTGGAGTCTCCTTCTCATGGAATATGACTTTCACGTGGAACACATTCGTGGTGTGAACAACGTTGGTGCCGACTACATGAGTCGAGCGGCTTTTACCGAGCAGTGACTTATTGCCGTTGTACACAATTTTTTATCATGTTGTCATCATAGTGCAATTGTTTTTTTTTTACATCTAAACTGTGACATTTAAAGTGTGCGGAACCTTTGTTATATTCGGGAACTGTGTGTTACGTGTGTACAACGTACTGGAAGTTGGGGGGAGTGTGGTAAGAGTGCTTCTCACAACCAAAATCGAAACTGGAAGTGAAACCGACAGCGGAAAATAACCGACGAAGACAAAGTGTGCACGGGGTCAGACGAACGTGAGCGCGTGAGTTTCGGAACAGCGACGGGCAGAGGAAGAACGCGGCCAGCTAGCAAGAGCGCTAGGCGTTGGGCCTCAGGGGACCGAACCA